AACTGTATATATAATATAGTATAAGTAGTATATATAGTATAGTATATATATATATATAAGTATATATATATATATGTGTGTGTGTGTGTACATATGAATTATATGTATTTGTATGTATATCAATACGTGTGTTTTTGCGAACAAACTAACTATTTAGTGTTTACACTAAAAATAGCTCAACCTATTGCATATGTGTACTATATGCACGTGTGGATGCTCGCATACTAACTGTATATATATATAATAATTTATCATGTGTATCCAGCCAATTTACTTATATATTTACATAGAAGTTGCATGCTATTTCCTCTAACGTTTTAAATCCGGTGTACTAATCTCGTCTGCACTCTCCTCGCTTCTCAGCGCTTCTCAGTCAGTTCAACAGCACGCGTTTATGGTCCAAGTCTGTTGCTGTCGGGGATGGGGATGTGATCAACTATGTGGACTCGTTGTATGAAGATGGATCCAAGAGCAGCGACGGTCGCAGTCTCGCAAACACGGTATGAAAGTTTACCTTGATCGTTATTGTTGTGTGCTTGTTTGCTTCCGTAAAATCGGAGGAAAAGAATATCATTGCTAGCTCACTGATCTGTTGTCGGCAGATATTACCATAGTATTTACGGTACAAGCAGCACTTACCAGGGCAACTAGCCGACTATCAAGTATTGCTTGAGTACATACCTTCCATAGGAGTGTCTAAAAACAACATCTCATATGCCACAGTGCAAGCTGACACGAGTTAGTCCCCTTCTCCGATTAGAATCGACGCACAACCAAGCATGGCATAGACAGTGTACAGAGCGACATACCGCTTGTCATGTTACACGGGTATGGGTCTGGTCTGGGCTTCTTCTTCCGGAACTACGATGCCATGTGCGCAAGAGTTCCCCGCGTGTTGGGCGTGGATTGGCTAGGTATGGATATTTATTGTTTAAGTTTTTATATGTGTGTTCATGTGTGATATCGTGATATTTATATCTATATATATATATGCGTATATCTGTAGAGGCTTATGCATGTGTATATGTATGATGACCGGTTGGCTGTTTCCGGGGTACATTGGAATCTGTAGCTAACCAATTTCACGCAATGCTTTGATGCCACGATTAAATTATTTTGCTTATTAATTCGGATGTACTGTGAATATCAACGCTGGCCAAACACCGGCACGAGCCTCTCTTGGGCTGTGTCGGTGGTGTAGCTTTGCCCTGTCGTCTTGCTGACTATCGCCAGACTAATACCACGATGCAGTGAGTCTGGTTGTTCAATCGAGCCTCTGTGCTGTGTTGGTGGTGTAGCTTTGCCCTGTTGTCTTGCTGACTATCGCCAGACTAATACCAAGATGTAGTAAGTCTGGTCGTTCAATCGAGCCTCTGTGCTGTGTTGGTGGTGTAGCTTTGCCCTGTTGTCTTGCAGACTATCGCCAGACTAATACCAAGATGTACTAAGTCTGGTTGTTCGATCGAGCCTCTGTGCTGCGTTGGTGGTGTAGCTTTGCCCTGTTGTCTTGCTGACTATCGCCAGACTAATACCAAGATGCAGTGAGTCTGGCTGCTTGATCAAGTACAGTGTGGACCACCAGTGTCTGGCACATGACAACGGCACCTTGTGCTACTTCATGGCGCATCTGTGACCTGTGACCTGTAACCTCTAGGCCGGCCTCAACTTGAGACCTGATGTGTTCAGTGCGTGTATATCTGCGTATGAATGCGCAAACATATAGCAACATGTCGGACAATGTGAGTGACTATTATCCAGTGCAGAAGCAAGTAGTGATTCCAACCCACTTCGACCCAGAGAATTGAGGTAGTGGAGGCGGGGGGCATGGTATCCCCTTCCTGTGTTGATCTGCCTATATTTAGTTATCCCCTTAGCCCTCGGGTTCCGGGTTCGGTAATGTCTCTACAAGTCTGACCTTGAACCACGTCACCCGAGGCGATGCTTGTCACCACCTCGGATACCTCTGCTGCATAAATATATTTTTCATGCGCTGTATAAAAATAGTGTGCACCGTCTGGCGGATTGTTTAAGACTTGGTTGGTTTAGCCCAAATACTCGTTTTCTGATTGGTCAATGCTGCCTTTTCTAAAAATAGACGGCTGGCGCATTTGACTTACACCGCCGGCGTACTATAAGACAAAGGCGGCACCTTCTTCGCCGATGCTTGTTTCACCTCTGATAGCCCAATTACATAGAAGCACTGATCTGTGCGCTGGATAAGTATGATACATCTCGTCTGGCAAATTGTTTATCTTTGGCTCACCTCAGAGTTGTAACATAGACTGGCTCGCATATTTGGTCTACACTCTCCGTGGACTACAAGGTGTGGGTGGATCTAGTCACCCGCGCCGATGCACTATCCCATCTCATATAGCTCTGCTACAGGGAAGCGCTTCTCCATACGCAGTTATAAATGTTCCGTATCATGGGGTCTAGTGTTCTGCATTTGGTTGTCCTCAACCTTTTCCAAGAACATAGCCGGCAAAGTTAACTCCACATCGCCTCGTCTGTTTGCTTTAAGGTATGGGTGGATCCAGTCGCCCACGACGTTGCTCGTTGCCACCTCGTGTGCCTCTGCTGTGCAGGGGTAGCTTCTCAGAGAGACAGGCAATCGATTTCTTCACAGACGCGTTGGAAAAATGGCGAGAAAGCGTGGGTCTGGACAGGTATGCATGATTTGTACTATTGTAGCTACGACAGAGGAGACGAGTACTATCTAGAATATCTGCTAGTAGGTATATACGATCGTAGAATGATTCGCGTACATTCACTACAGTGTGAATATATTGTCTCAACTGGTCACTGGTGGGGTAGTATGCTCACTGTGGTAGTTTTATTTTGGCTTCGAGCTGGCTTGGTAGATTAAACATTCATCGACTTCTCGTTTGTTGCATATAATGAAGAAATACTGTCTACGCGCGACCCTGTCCAGATAGATAGATTCCTAAATACATGCTAGTTGTTATGCAAACTAGGGCGCTGTGAGGACAGACCCCTCTCGTACGGACCTATGATTCACCATGTAGTAAACCCTAAAACCCTAACATCCTGAAACCCTAAAACCGCTCCGATGCAGCTGCCTCCCATGCGCCACACTGTTCCCACACCCTCACTTGAAGTCGTGTTTCGCCTATGTTCTATTAATAGATTCCACCTGCTGGGCCATTCTCTGGGAGGCTATCTAGTGGCACAGTATGCACTCAAATACCCAGAGCGTGTGGAGAGCTTGACTATGGCCTCTCCGGCTGGCATTGCCCATCCACCCGCACCACGGCAGATACTGAGTGACCAAGGTAAACAATTACAGGTGTGCTATGGGTTGGTTGTATGCATGGTTCCCAATTGACAGCAGATACCCCTACCTATTCCCTAGTGGCCAAGTCTTCGTACTGCTTGTCTATCACACCTAGTGCACTCCGAACCAGTGGCCAATGCAATCGCACTCCTTACATCACAGTAGGTACTGGTTAATTAAGCTTGGCTGTTGCTTGTTTGTCACAGTTAGCGTGCCGTGATCCGGTGATTTGTGGTTGTACTTGCCGCTTACTTCGTAGCAGTTATGAGTCAACCACTAATAGCTATTGCTTATCTGTCGTTGCCCAGTGTTTTATGATCCAGAAAGTACTGATCACGCCACTCAATTCAGATACAACGAGAAGTGAGGCAGAATAGCTTTGAACCGTTTCCTTCACTTCGCATGTCATAAACGCGTGTGACATGTACCTATTCCACCCAGTACATTACAAGCGGCCCTTAATCGAAGTTGCCTTGCACATTTTTAGCGAATTACTTCCATTTGCGGTTTAAATTAGTATGGTAGTTCACTATTCCAGACAGCGGTGGCCCCAGTCAGCACAATTCTTGTTGCCCTCGTATGTGTAGGTAGGGCATTCTGTGACCTGCCCGGCTTACCCTATCCGATTCAACCTATGAGTCAACACTCGCTATCACCGTAATTCAGTATTTCATTTCTCTCAATACACTGGTTCCTTGTTTCTACACGAATTTCAATATGCTACTTCAACATGCTTGCATACTCTTCACATACTAGCTGCATAAACCGTATCTAGATACGTATCTCAATACAATAATCATACACACTTAAATACAAATTTCATTCCTAGGACAGTCTGTCTCACCCCCGGCACTGCCTCTCAGTCTGCGTCTGATTGATGCAGCGTGGGCGAATAATGTCACGCCGCAGCAGCTAATCCGAATGTTTGGGCGAAGAGGACCTGGCCTGACCTTAAGTGCCGTAAAACGAAGATTTGGTGCTGGGAGGTGTGTGTTTTTTGGTCCATTAATACATATTATATGTATATATATGTATATATATATATATATGTGTGTGTGTGTGTGTGTGTGTATGTGTGTGTGCGTGTGTGTGTGTGTATCTGTGTCCGTGTTTGTGTCTGTGTTTGTGTCTGTGTCTGTGTCTGTGTCTGTGTGTATTTGTGTGTCTGTGCATATATATATCCTGTTATATCATTAT